AGGTAGCTAGAAATGTGGTAAGGAATAAATTAGTGCATAGAATTTTTGCAGTTGTGAGAAAGAAATCCACATATTTGAAGAAAAATGAAATTATTTCAGCGGATTAAATAAACTTAGAATACGGTATAAGGCATCAATTTTCTAGATATCAGAAAGAGTAACTAAATAAAAAAAAGCTGCTCCCATTGTGTGAGAGCAGCTATAAAATAAATTTAAAGAATGTTTAGGATTAGTCCCGTCGACTCATCAATATTCTCAATATATACCAGAATAGAAGCATAACGGATGCAAATATTTGCAATGCAGCACCTACATACTGGTCAGTAGTGTAATTGTCTTTTATCTGACTCGTTTGGTATAAAATACTAGCAGAAGCTAATACCACCATACCTACAGAAAACCATAGACCGAGATTAAATCCGAACAAAATCCCTCCCGCTATAAGTCCTAGTGAAATAAATCCACCTATTATAATACCTGTACGCAAAAACGAAAAATCATATCCTGACATAAAAACTAAGGCCGTCAATCCGCCAAACATAGATAGTGTAATAATTCCTGCCTGCATTATGACATCTCCACCAGTATATGATGCAGCTATATATAGCATAGGTAAAAAGATAATGGCTTCTAAAATGACATAGAGCCCTAGACCGAAATATTGAGCACTTCTACTGAGCGAAAATGCGAATTTGTTGGCAATAAATGAGCCTAACCAAAATAGACCAATTATAAATAGCCATACAAATTTTCCACCAAACATCATTGCGATAAGTTCGCCAGGTATAAATTTAAGTAAAAAAGTTTCTACCACCATAAAGGCGAGAATAGCTAGCGCTACGTGCAAATAAGTTCTTTTGTAAAAGTCTGCTCTATCCGCTTGGGTAGCTTGTGATACGATTTCTGAGTATTGATTCATGTTTTGAAATTTTGTTGTTTATACAAATATAAAGTTCTTTAGTTTATATATTCAAACTTTGTATAAGGCACCAGTACTTTTGGTATTTTTATCCCTTTTTCTGTTTGGTTGTTTTCCAAAAGAGCAGCTACGATTCTCGGCAATGCCAGTGCAGAACCATTCAGCGTATGACAGAGTTCTATTTTACCTTCTGCATTCTTATATCTAGCCTTTAATCTATTCGCCTGAAAATCTTCAAAATTAGATACGGAACTCACCTCTAACCATTTTTCCTGAGCAGCCGAAAAGACCTCTAGGTCATAGGTAAGCGCAGAGGCAAAACTCATATCACCACCACATAAGAGCAGAACACGATATGGAAGTTCTAATTCCTTTAATAAATTTTCTACGTGAGACGTCATAATTTCCAAGGTAGCATAAGAAGTCTCAGGCTTTACCAGTTCTACGATTTCTACTTTATCAAATTGATGTAATCGATTCAGACCTCTCACATCTTTTCCATACGATCCTGCCTCACGTCTAAAGCATTGAGAGTATGCAGTTAGTTTGATAGGGAGGTCATTCTCAGCTATCACCGTATCTCTATAAATATTCGTGACAGGAACCTCGGCTGTAGGGATCATATAGAAGCCATCGTGGTTTTGGTACATCTGACCTTCTTTATCAGGTAGCTGACCAGTAGCGAATGCTGAGTCCTCATTTACCATAAGTGGAGGTATGATTTCTAAATAACCCGCATCGCTCGCTTTGTCAAGAAAATATTGGATCAAAGCACGCTCTAGTTTAGCTCCTTTGCCTTTATATACTGGGAAGCCTGCACCTGTGAGTTTGACTCCTAAATCGAAATCTATGATATCGTATTTTTTTGTCAGTTCCCAATGGGGAAGAGCTCCATCGATCAGTTCTGGCATTTCTCCGCCAGTTCTTATCGTGACATTATCTTCCGCTGCTCTACCATGGCCTACCTTACCATGAGGTATATTAGGTATCTGTACATGAATATCAACTATCAGTTTTTCAAGCGCTCGCATTTCATCTGCATAGGCCTGAGTTGCAGACTTAAGACTGGCGGATTCAGACTTGAGCACTTCGGCCTCAGCCTTTTTTCCATCCTTCATCAGCACAGGTATCTGCTTAGAAAGCTGATTGGACTGGGCTAATAAATCATCCAAAAGTCTCTGTGTGCTCTTGCGCTTATCGTCTAAGTTGAGTATTTCATCGAGCAGATGGAGTTCAGAAAAATGCTTTTTCTTTAGTTTTTCTAAAATTTCATCCTTGTGACTTCTTATTTTCTGAATAGGTATCATGTGTTTAGCTTTTTTACAAAGCTTTTTTTATTTCTGTAAATTTAAATTTTAATGTATCTCTATTTGCTAGGTATCGAACTTTGAACACTAGACTAGAACGGTAAATCATCGTCCATAGAGGCGCCTCCGTCTGATACAAAATCACTAGCAGTGGCACTACCCATCGATTTTTGCTCTGGCATACTATCGCTAGAAGTATTAGAGTTGCCTGTATTCTGACCTTTCGGCATCATTTTAAGCGTTTCTACTCTTACTTCTGTAAAATATCTTTTTACGCCGTCTTTTTCAGCTTCACGCGTTTTGATTTTACCTTCGACATAGAGTAGATCTCCTTTTTTTACATATTTTGAAACCACCTCTACTAAACCTGGGAAATTAACAGAAACATTGTGCCAATCTGTCCGCTCTACTTTTTGTCCAGATTTGTCTTTATAACTATCGTCCGTGGCTATGGTGAAATTGGCTACAGAGCCATTATCAAATTGCTTTACCTCTGGGTCTTTACCCACTCTTCCTAATAATATTACTTTGTTAATCATGATGAATTTGTTTTATTTCGCTAAAGTAGTAAAAATAGAAAATAAGAATCGTAAATTATTGTAAAATGTGCGTAAATAGGAGTTTTTATTCACTTATTTTTTATTCATTTGAAAGCGTTGAATCTTACTAATACTTTTATTATTTTGGGAAGATGATTGAATATTCTATGACATATCACTGAAATGTTTTCATAGTAACAAAATAGAACTAACCTTAAATTTCAATCCTGCTAATCAATAAAATAAATCTATCCTAGATAGAATCTTTAAACTTTTAGTGAGAGCCTTAAAAAAACAAAATTATTTGATTTATAAATATTTACGAATTGGTTGATTAGTCAAAATGATATTCATATGAATTCATTACTCAAAAAAACTACGATATAAAATTTATTTTTAATTTTGTAGTCTAAAACCAATTTCTTATGAACAATATAAAAAAACTATCACTTCTTTCTACCATTTTATTCACTTTAGTATCATGCGGTAAGGATGAGCCTGGTACCACCACTGGTACAAATACTTGCTCATCTAACTATTTACCTTATAAAACTGGAACTGTGGTTTACACAAATTCTGGATCTAAGAATGATTCTATGGTTTTTGGAAAAGATACAACTATAGATGCTGTAAAGTTTTACGAAGTAGTAAATAATGCAAATACTACAGGAGTGAGAGCCTTTATGGGAAGGGATGCGTCAGGAAACGTCTTGACTTTTAATACAGGTGCTACTATACCTGGTGGAGGAGCTTTCTTACCATCTAAGTATGTAATGTTATATCCTAATAAAGCTGTAAACGATACCTGGTCTCATAAAATCACAATGAATTTATCAGGATTTGAATATACCTATACTTATAAGATGAAAATGCTGGAAAGAAATATTAAAGCTACAGTAAATGGTACAAACTATACAGATGGGTTGAGATTTTCTATGGAGACAAGTTTTGCTATTGCAGGATTCCCTTCTTCATCTTCGACTCTGGAGTACACATTTTTATGTGGATTAGGTTTATATCAATCTAAAGTTGGCTCTACGACTACGACTACTACAAAAATAAAACTGTAGTTTCGTTTTTAACTTGTTGACCTATTATATTCAGTGGCATTTTTTGAGAAAAGATTTTAGAATTCATCTCAATTTAGTATTGGCCTAGACCGACTTGTTTTTTAGATTCTCGGATATGTTTCAGTACTTTTCGGAGAGCTGTGCAGTACGAAACGATAAGTATAATTCACCATTGAATTTATATTATTTGTGAATAATAATCAACATTGGCTTTGCACCCTATATTTTGGACTACGGTTGATTGAGTGAATAAAGTGCATGAATTGTAAGATATTGCTTGTGACTTGTGTTATCTGGTTTATCTGGAAATAAGTATTCCTAAGAGAATAAATAGTTGTAGTCAATCCATTTTTGGGAATAAGACGAAAGCGGCTGTGTAAATCCACTTATACTGGATTGAAACGATTTTGTATTAGAAAGCTTTATTCTTAGTAAACTCTATATCGGTCAAGGTCTTGAGAAAGGCGATGATTTTTTCTTTTTCCCCAGATTGAAATTTAATTTTATTTCTCAGTGTACTATCTAGGCTTGGGGATTGATTTATACCAGATTCATAGTGATTCATAACTTCTTCTAGACTGTGTAGCGAACTATTATGCATATAGGGCGCGGTAAGGGTTATATTTCGGAGGCTAGGTACCTTAAATTTACCTTTATCACTTTCTATCAGGGAGATTTCATAGCGACCAAGGTCAGTATCTCCAGATTTAAAAATGCCATTGTTTCTATAGCTATAGTTGGATTGCAGAGGCCCTTCATGACAGTGGCCACATTTAGTTTGAAAGATGGTATAGCCTTGCATTTCATCTTCGCTTAGTTTTATCTTGCCACGTAGGAAGTTATCAAATGGGCTCTGATCGGAGATGAGTACGGCCTGAAAGTGTGTGAGCGCTTCTAGTATCTGATGCGAACTTATGGTATCTGTCTGAAAGATTGTTTTAACTTGCGATTGGTAGGTTTTCGCACGATTGATTTTATAAACTATGTTTGGCATAGATTCATCTAGCTCTTTTTCGTTGGTTATCGGATTGAGTGGAATGAGGTCTATGTTGTGCACACCACCATCCCAGAAGAAGGTATTAGACCATAAAAGATTTTGCAGTGCGGGGGCATTTCGCTTTCCTACCTGACCGCGCACACCTAGGCTAAACGATCTAGTATCCGAAAAAGCAGAGGCCTGTTGGTGGCAGCTAGCACAAGATATGGTACTATCTTTTGAAAAAATAGGGTCAAAAAAAAGCTGCTTTCCTAGCTTAAATTTTTGTGCATCGATACTAAGAGTATGGTGAGGCTTTGGGAAATGGCTGGGTAGGATGAATTCTTCTTTTCTTGCAGATGTGCAAGAAAGAAGAAAGAGAATACAAATTAAAAGCCACTTCATTAGTATGTGTTTCTATATGTTTCTGTTTTTTTGAGAGTTCAATCTTTTTAATTCTTAAGGTACTAAATTTTTATTTTGGATAAATTCCTGGTCTGTCAGTGTATACAGAAATTCAATTAAGTTCTTCTTTTCTTCTTCAGAAAATTGAAATCCCCCCACATTTTTACTCAGCGGAGCACTCAATGAGGGAGACGAAACAATATGGTGTGAATAATGATCTATGACTTGATCTAACTGTGAAAATCGTCCATCATGCATATAGGGAGCAGTCAAGGCTATATTGCGTAGGCTAGGTGTTTTAAAACGGCCTAAATCTATTGCATTTTGACTGATTCGATATCGCCCAACATCTTTGAACAAGGTATCTAATCCATTGTTGTGAAATTTATAGTCAGTCATGAGTGGCTCACTATGGCAGCTGCTGCAGCTGCTTCTAAATAAGGAGAGACCCTTCAATTCACTGATAGAGAGATTTGCAGATCCAAGTACGTACTTGTCATATCGACTATTTGCAGATACGAGATTGCTCATGTACTGGGCTAGAGCCCAAAAGAGCTGCTGGTCATCTAGTTTAGTTTTATTAAACACAGATTGAAATTGATGGGAATACACACTATGTTGTTGGAGTTTTCGCAAAATATTAGACAGGTCATCTCCCATCTCTCTTGGATGCACAAGAGGTGCGAAGGGCATAACCTCTATATGATTAATCCCACCATCCCACATAAATGATGTATTCCATGCCATATTGAATATGGCTGGACTATTTCGATCTGAAAGACCGCCATTGATTCCTTTACTTCTGGCCACATTCTTATCAGCAAAAGCATTCGTTTGGTGATGACAACTGGCGCAAGAAATCGTACTATCGCGTGAAAGTATAGGGTCAAAAAATAAATTTTTGCCTAGATCGAATCCAGCTTTGGAATATGGATTGGTATTATGTGTATAATGCGCTGGTGGAAAATGCTGCGGACGTTGTAGCGTTTGTAGCGATGAAGAATCTTGGCTCGTATCTTTGGTACATGCAGTAAATAGTGCACTAAAAGCGAGTAGAGAACCACTCGCTTTTAATGCATTGAAACTCATCTTAAAAAAAATCAATACTATTTAATTTCTTTGAAGGAAAAATTGTTGTAAAAATCTTTCGCCATAGTGACGGCATTCGCTCCTGGCATATGGATAGTACTGCGAGTAGCTACACTAGCAGATGAATGCCATAGACGAGCAGGATTGGCTAGTAGAACCACTGTAGGTTCGTTAGAAGTCGTAAGTGTAAGTTTGGCTCCATTGAAGTCTGTAGTTTTGATAGTTACAATGTTATTAGCACCTGAGAAGCCTCCGAGGTGAAAAGCAAATGAACCTGTGCTGCTCTGTGGCGAAGTTCCCTCTGCTTTGAGCATGATATACCCTGAATTCCAGTCCCAAAACATACCTTCGCTGATAGCTAAATCTCCTGTTTGTGCGCCAGATACATTGCGCAGACTATCTACACCTAGTGTATATTCCATAGCCTTGTAACTTCCTGCGGGCACGTCATGGAGATGAATGTTTGCATCATCTGCTGATTTCGCGGATAGTAAATGATAGCTTTCTGGTGCAGTCCACCAGGTGCCATCTTCTTTTTGGAGTCGAATATTACTTATGTAGAATGAAAATTCTGAAAACGTGAGAGAATCGAATGTTTTCGTGTGCATCAATTTTTGATTGAGTGAGAATGGGAGCATATCCGCACCAAATACAAACTGGGTCTGGATATTTAAATGACCAAGGTCATCATGATTATGATCGTCTTTGCTGCAAGAATTAAATGTAAAACTTATGCCTAAAAGGCTAATGAGGGTGAGAAATTGAATTGATTTTTTCATTTTTTATCTTTTTATATTTTGAATAATTGATTTAGTTATGAATATGATCTATACTGAACATATCCACATAATTGTCTGCTAAGGTTTTCGAAGCAGGATCTACATGAATGGTGGGTTTTGTAGCCAGGCTAAAATTGGTAGGATTTTTGAATATTTCCATCACATCGACTACGATATGTATTTGCGGAGATATACTATTTGACACTTTGGCTGTTTCTCCTGATTTACTTAGGGAAAATGATTTAATATTATTGACAGTAGGTGAGGAGTAGCCGCCGAATAGACCTATGTGATAAATGAAATTGTCTCCTGTGGCATCTGGGTGACCAGCTACAACTGGAGATTTTCCTTCTACCTTCATAAAAATATAACCACTATTCCATGCCCAGTACATGCCTGATGTGGCAGGGTCTAGAGCCCCTGTTCGCTCACTGGAAGGAGCACAGTTCTTTAGACTGTCGACTCCTATTATAAATCGCACTTCTTTGTACTCTCCTTGAGGTATATTAGTAAGCGTTATAATAGGGTTAGCACCTGATGCAGGCTCTTCTATAAGGAAATAACATTCATCCTTAGGGAGAGTATAAATAGTGCCATCCGTATTGACCAAAGAAAAATTGCTTAGGTAATATTTGAACAAAGTAAACTGCATCGTTTCTCCTGCCGCATTGACATAGTCTTTATTGTATTGCATAGCAGATCCGTTGACTAAATGGTCTAATTCTATTTTTATAGAACCTGTAGTCCCAGAATTGGTGGAATTTTTGGTGCAAGATTGGAAGGTATAGAGTGAGCTGAATATGCTAACTAAAAAAAATATCTTTTTCATATGTTTGATTTTTATGGATTAAAAATAATAATTGAATTGGGTGGATATCCTAATAGAACCACGGGTGAATCCTGAATTTATTTCTTGATGTACTGGTATTTGAATATTTGTACCGATTGATATATTATCTTTGAATACATTGATTCCTAAAGATGATAACATAGAATAACCTCCGGTGAGTTCCTTTAATGTACCTCTGTCAGTATTGGCATTCATCTGTTCGCAGCTTAATCCGGCATTAGGTACCCAGGCTATCTTCGGCAGTTGATACCAGTAAAAGGCTTTCAGATTCAAATTAGAACTATTGCCCATCCGGTAATTGTTCGCACCTGTGGTGTTGAATTTATAATTTCCATCTAGACTCCACCCCAATTTTTTGAAGCGCATCATATAGAAAAAACTAGCGAGAAAGTCAGTAGACCCAGTCCCAAGCTGCAGCATAGGTATGATGGTATTCCCATTGGCTATCAAATCGCTCTGGCCAGATGGAAGTTTGACACCTAAACCCGTTTGCAGAAAATGATAGATTCTCTGATTGAGGCTATCGCTATTATCTATTAGCGTATAGTTTCCCATGATAGATAAATCCCCTAGTCCATGTATGACATAGTTGTTATGATTATCTATTCTATCATTGATCAGATAAGGTACTGAGGCATAGAGTTGAATCCTCTTGGATAGGTTATACCTACCCCATATGGTCAGTTCATTGAGTACATCCTTGCCGTACTCTTGCTTATCGTTATGTTCCGTCTCGAATCGCACATATCTATGCTTGACTCCTACGAAATGACTTGAGTAATTGGGCAGTAATCCAATGTACATAGAGTTCGGATTATTGCCGCATATATCGCATGCATTCCCATGGACATACGTCACGATAAGCAAAAGCCATATAGTTTTTAATGACATTGCTTTTTTTGTTTGAAGTTAGAAATTATTGAAATCTAATACCTTTAATTCGTCAAAAATTGACCAATCAATTACAGGTATGTATCAAACAAAACACGGTGGATGAAATATAGGTTTGATTTGGGTAAAATGGTAGTTTTCTGAATAGTAATAGGAATGAGTGGCAGAGAGGTGAATATCCTTCATGTTATTGGTAAATCCATAAGAAATCTCTTCATCAGTAAATACCAAATTTTCCGTCAGTTTTTCCCAGCTGGGTGCACTTTTATTGTTGTCATTTTCTTCGCTCTGATTTATTTTAGAGAGGGTCTCTTCGAGGTGACACTGACCATGACATTCCATCTCAGGTTTGTCTATATTTTTACAGAATAGTTTTTCTATAGCAGTCCTATTGATATTCCAGTAAGATATATACAACAGCTTTGTAAGCCCTGGTAGCAGGACGATAAGACATAAAAAAAGGGCTATAGTTTTTTTCATTTAATCTAATCACAAAGATACATAAACTTCAATAAAATATTCAGACAAGTATATCTGATATTTTGTAAATTTTGATAAAAGAACGTCCGCTAGTGCGGACGAACTTTAACCAATGAATCAGTAGGTTTTCTATTATGTATAGTTAGGTTTTCTAATTTTGGAGCTCATAACATTGCCTTACTCCCCTTTTAGTAAGTCAGTGTTTACTTATTTCACATGTATTTTATAGGTTTCACCGCTGGTTTTTAGGAAATATATTCCAGAAGACCATAGGTTGGTATCATTATCTATCAGTTGATTTGGAGCTAAGACGCGCTTAGAAATCTCCTTACCTAGAATATTAACTATACTGACTTCTAGCGGTTTTGAATTTTCATTTTTTAAAGTCAATGTTCGATCATTCTGATAATATCTCAATCCACTATTTTGATTTGCAATATTAATCTGACTAGAAGATTTCTTAACTACATGCACAGACTTAGGCGCAGGTAGCGTTATGGGGAGTACATTGTATGTCGAATCTATTAGCACTGGTTTGAGGATTTCAAAACTGGTATTGATAGGGTCTATTAATCCGCCTAAAACATCTATTTCTACGATGTCCACTATGCCTAACTCTCCTTCACCATCGCTATTTTTACCAGATTTTCTAACTATAACTACATCTAGTTCACCACTTCCATTGTTTACTTTGGTGAAATTTAAGGTCGACTCCTGATCTGTAAACCACTTGCTGGCCTTAAACGTAATCTTGTCGGGATTGATATAGGCCTGATTGAATTTGAGGGTAAAAGCTATGCCGTATGAATTCTTAACTTTATTAGCATTTGTACCTAAATGAACACTAAACTGGAAGGCCTTTACATTAGATTCTAGTTTGATAGTATCGGGGAGTACTATACTGAAGCTTTCCCCACCAGTAGGACTATAGTGAACATTAGTAAGACCAATGCTTCGGTTGTAGTTTTTGAGTACGGTACCTACATCACCTGCGCTATCTACCAGACCATCTCCATTCGCATCAGAGTATCTATAATTACTCTTATTGTTGGTTAGAGTCCAGTCGTAGGCTCTTACCGGTACCCAGTCATTTGTCAGATAAATGCCTTCACGTACGATTTCATTTTTACCGTATGCTATACCGATATTGAGTACATCTATATGATTACATAGATTGTCTTTATTAGCGTCCCCAGGATATAAATCTTGACTTAAATCATCTTTGACTATGACTACATAATTCGTATCTAGACTGCCTGAGTTGATATCACGTGCTATATAGAAGAAAGTATCATTTTGTGCTCCATGATGATTATCTTGATAGGTTACATTCGGCGAGGCAGCATTGATAGCGATGTTATTGGGTGTAATTTTATAGACATCCACTACTTCATATGTTTTACCCGCGATAGCATTGTCATTAGCTAGCACATTGATGGTTCGAACTACTCCAGATTTCAAAATGACTTTCGCATTGTCTGGGCGCGTTCCCTGTCCTATGAGCATATAAACACTCGAGCAGAGGAGGGCAGATAAGAGTAATTTTCGTTTCATACGTTTTCGTTTTTCTGATGAAGAAATGATTCAACTGTGTTATTTTCTTTTTCTGATACAAAAGTCGGCATATTTTTATCAATATTCTAATACAAAATTAGCCGCTTGTTAAGATATTGTTGCAAAAAGAATAAAACAAGTGGATTGATAACCAGTAATTTGGATTTATATTTTGTTAATAGCACTTATTTCCTATTTTTGATATAAAATTCGTGATTATTTTAAATATCTATTTTTTTGTATTCAGAAATATTTAATCAGACCCAACTATGAGCGGAAAAAACAGTAAGATCGAAGAACTCTATGGAAGCCTTTCTAGGCAAGACAAGGATGGTATTTCATCCTTCCTTTCCTGCACACTTTTTAATCAAAGTGATATAGTCATGGCTATTCATTTATATTTAGTCGAGCATCTTATTCAAACTAAGGAATTGGATAAAATGGATCTATACCACAGTGTCTTTCCTCCAAATGAAAAATATTCGGATGTAAAGCTGCGTGTTTTTCTCTCTAAATTGGTCAAGCTCATCGAAAAATATATAGTAGTAAAAAAAATAGATCAATATCCGCTTGCAGAGCTCAATATTTTAAATAAATATTATTCCTTAAACCATCTGCATAAAAATAGAACTGTATTTTTTAACTATAAGCCTGAGCTTAATTTCGATTCTTATGAAGATTATCTTATGTATGAATATGCATACGCTATGAGTAAATTAGAGTTCGTATTTAATGAGTTTAGCCATGATAGTGAAAAGAAAAGAGAGCATTTCGAGCATGCACTTCGAGCACAGAAAAAATTGAGTTTTTTCCAGACCTTAAAGACACAATGCGATTTTTTGAGTTTTACGCAGAAATATAAAAGTGAAAAAGATAGTACCTACGAAGATTTTATAGTGAATCAACTCATAGAGAGTAGAAATGATCAGGATCCAGTGATTAAAGCGTATATTTGTGTATACCAAATAGCCAAAGAAAATAATCCACAACTTTTTTCTGAGCTGAAGGACATCGTCTTAAATCACAATATACCTTTTGAATCTAACTTCAAAGGCTTACTCTCTCACAGTGAGAATTTTTGTATACGATTTATCAATAGTGGGAGGAGTGAATATCTAGAGCAATTGTTTGAAATTTATAAATGTGAAATTCAATTTTTTAAACAACCTGGTGATTTGAATTCCAATAATTTTAAAAATATTATTTACACGGCGCTTCAGCTTAATCAGGTAGAATGGGCAGAAAATTTTGTCGAAAATTATTATTCAAAGGTATCTTTGATTGAACAAGAGAATACCTATAATTTTAATTATGCTAGAATCTATTTTGAGAAGGCTGAATATAAATCAGCTATGCGGCAGCTACTCAAGGTGACGTATGAAGACTCTTTTTATGCTTCTACGGGCAGAATTTTACTTATAAAATGTTACTATGAATTAAACGATGAAATGCCCCTTCTTAGCTGCTGTATGAGCTTAACGCAGTTTTTAAATCGTAGCAAGGATTTTACTAAACAGAGGGTAGAAAACAATTTGCATTTTGTAAAATATGTAAAGATGTTGCAAAAGCATCGATTAGAAAATGATCGGAGTTATTTCAAAAAACTATATACTAAAGTAAAAGATTCTACAGTAGTAGAAAAAGAATGGCTCTTGAAAAAAATTGAAGATTTATACTAGGGTTTACCTAAAATTTCTTTGATTTCAGGAAAGATTATCCCTTCTAGAATACCAATATTAGCTATGCTTTCATCCAGAAGTATGAATATCTGGTATGAGGCGGGAAGCCAGCCTATTAGTAAACTATGGTGACTCATTTTTATTTTAAAGCTCTCCTTTAACTTTGGAAAACTAGCGGCTNATCTATTTTGAGAAGGCTGAATATAAATCAGCTATGCGGCAGCTACTCAAGGTGACGTATGAAGACTCTTTTTATGCTTCTACGGGCAGAATTTTACTTATAAAATGTTACTATGAATTAAACGATGAAATGCCCCTTCTTAGCTGCTGTATGAGCTTAACGCAGTTTTTAAATCGTAGCAAGGATTTTACTAAACAGAGGGTAGAAAACAATTTGCATTTTGTAAAATATGTAAAGATGTTGCAAAAGCATCGATTAGAAAATGATCGGAGTTATTTCAAAAAACTATATACTAAAGTAAAAGATTCTACAGTAGTAGAAAAAGAATGGCTCTTGAAAAAAATTGAAGATTTATACTAGGGTTTACCTAAAATTTCTTTGATTTCAGGAAAGATTATCCCTTCTAGAATACCAATATTAGCTATGCTTTCATCCAGAAGTATGAATATCTGGTATGAGGCGGGAAGCCAGCCTATTAGTAAACTATGGTGACTCATTTTTATTTTAAAGCTCTCCTTTAACTTTGGAAAACTAGCGGCTATGAGCGCATGGTCTAGAAACTCGGCGATATTTTGAAACAGTGGAAGCATGCTTTCTTGAAAATTAAAACTCGCTAAGACAGTTTTGCTATTTTTTTTACTGATGCTACAGGATATCAAACTATCACCAAGCTCTTCCCTTAATTTATCAATAATAATGAGAAGCTGAGCATCAGCAGCATATATTACAGGGTCTTTTCTAGACTGAAAGACTAAATTTTTAAAAAAGCCACTTAGCATGTGTTCAAGCTCTATTTAAAAGAGCGAGGTGTGATTATTAACTTTTTATAGCCTCTAGAAACTCTTCTGATACATTAGGAATGATTACATTTAACAATAGTCCTAATTGGGTTTTACTTTTAGAAACAAGCATACCCCATTGATATTTCTCAAATTGCAAAACTAATATCAAACTATCACCTTCACAATCCATCATATAGTACTTTTCCAGAGGTGGAAATCCAGCACCGTTCAAGGCCTTTTTTAAGAAGGAGGTCACCTGTTCAAAAAGCGCAGTTGCCTTAGGTTGCGTGTTATAACCCGCAATGGATTGTCCAGTATTAGTCATCCAGATATCACAGGCTAGCAAAGAGTCACCAAGATATTCTTTCAGCATATCTACCGAATTATTGAGCTTTTTTATATTCATAAGATTAAATTTTGGTAGTTATTTAATTGATACAAAAATACGTTAGATTTATTTATTGCCTATAAAATTATTGCTCAGAAGCCTTTTAATACCACTCATAGTTTTTATAAACCCTCAACTATACTTTATTTTTCGCCTGCTTTTACCACTTTCTGCATGATACGATCTACTGCTTCATGTAATTCCAGCAATCCCTCATTATTGATGATAGTGAAGTCAGCACGGGCTATGCAACCTGCTAAATTCTGATTATTAGGGTTACTAGAGTTCATTTCTCTTTCTTCATCAGATTTGAATTTTTCATAACCTACAGCATCCGTTTCACTATTTCTAGCGAAGGCTCGCTGATAGCGCAGAGATTGCTCCGCATCTACGGCTAGCAGTGTAAAATTGCCTAAGGTTTTCAGCTTATCTATCTCGCCTACCGTGCGAATACTCTCTATGATGGCATTGCCTCCATGCAGAGCGGCAGTGCGATAAAGTTCTTCTATAATAAAACTAGGGGAATTGTTTTTTTCTCTAAGTGAATTGGCTAGTGCAGTAAAATGGTCTCGATTAGGCTCTATACCCTGAAGTATTAATAGTTCTGTGAGATATTTTCGCACGGAGTAATGCTTAAATCCATACCGAGTGGTCAGATAGTCTACCACCGTACCTTTTCCAGCACCTATAGTTCCTGTGATTCCGATAATCAGCATTGGGATTTATTTTTTATTTCTTACTAAACTTAGCTTGAAATAGCTTGATAATAATAGGCAATACAGAAACTAAAACGATACCGAGAACTACTTTTTCAAAATTGGTTTTTATCCATGGAATATTACCTAAAAAATAACCCAGTAATGTGATAGAACATACCCACAAACAGGCTCCAATAAAGCAGTAGGTTAAATACGTTTTATATTTCATCTCACCAGCTCCCGCTACGAAAGGAGCTATGGTGCGCACAATTGGAATATATCTAGCTAAAATGACTGTTTTAGAACCGTATTTTTCAAAGTACTTTTCAGTTTCCTCAATATGTTCCTTTTTTAGGAATAAAAGTTTTTCTTTTTTTTGTATCAAATCACCAAATTTCCGACCTATAAAATAGTTAACATTGTCTCCTATCAAAGCCGCTAAAATGAGAAGCGGAATTACAAAATAAATATTGATTTCACCAGTGGTAGCAGCGATGAGACCTACTGAAAATAAAAGGGAATCTCCTGGTAGCAAAGGCATGACGACCACTCCTGTCTCAACGAATACAATTAGAAACAAAATGAAATATACCAAGGCCCCATACTGCGATATAAACATCTGCAATACGGTCAAAGGATCTTTTAAAAAATCTAATAATAAATGTATAATCTCCAAAATATAAGTTTTGGCAAAGATAACGAAGGAAATTCCAAAGGAATGAATTAGAGTTAAAATCTCCGTCCAATGGATAACCCAAATCTAGGGTACATCTCATTATTATCAAAATTGTCAGTATAAAGAAAATTTCTTCCTAAACCACCTAGTATCTCTGCTGTCCATACCTTATGTACTTCAAATTTACCGCCTAGTCCTATTCCAAGTCCACCTTGAATTTCTTTTTTTGTAGTCATATAATAAAAAGTTGGGCCGGAAATAAAGCGTGTCACATCTTGAGTATAGATTCCTGCATTTCCCTCTAGAAAGAACCCGCAAACTGGTTTCTTATGTCCAAAATACCATCTATAAAATGGAAACAATCCTATGCCCACATTAGTATTCCTAGCAGCACCATAAAATACCGACGCTCCAACAGATGAAAATTGATTAAGCGCTCTTTCATAAGTTATTTCTGGCAACCCGAATAAAGTATATATCGTATTTAATTTTATTTCGTTTTTAGGATAGTTGTCAGGCAACGAATCTTGACCAAGCATACAGATGGAGAATAGAGTCATCACTATTAGGGTTGTTTTTTTCATAATTTTTAAAATTTAAATTAGACTAATAACTCAGAAAATAGAAAAATATTTTCCAAACCATATTTTGATAACTCCTTTTTTACCTTTTCAAACCCTTCATCTGTAACTATCATCACAAAATCACCACCCCATGCACCTAGTGATTTAGAGAAAAAAGGCAGCCCTTTTAAAACTGTATCTGCCGCTCTAGGCAAGGACAGGGAAGAGGAGATGATTTCTTCATGTTTACCCAATAAATAAACCCAGTCTTGAAAATTTTGCTTCTCTATTAGTTCTTCTGTGATAGATGAAATTTCATTGATTAAAGCAGTTTTGTTTTGCCCTAAATTTCTATACAAATTGATTCCTTCCCTCGAATCCTGTTTTTTATTCAGATAAGCAAAATAGCAATATGGCTTTATTGCCTCTGGTATAACTGCTGGTTTGATTTCTGGGCTTATTTTATCTTTATTGGAATATAGAATAGGCGTTTCAGAAAATGCACATGCTATGTCATAACCAGAGCCTTGAAACATTTTATTATTGAGTTCGTATGGATTTACTTTGAAATAATCCGCCAGTAGGGCTATTAGCGTGGAGCTAGAGCCGAGTCCCCACATTTTAGGGAAATCCATAGTCATTCGATAACTATCTTTAAGCTCAAATCCAGCGATAGAGTTTAAAATCTTTAGGAGTTTTTTTTCCGCTTCTGATTTTGAATTTTGATCATTGAGTTCTAACCATGACTGATCTAAATGGTCAAAAGATTTCCATGAAAATTTTTCTGAACGGTGAACAACCAAAGTCTGACCATAAATGGTCGGACATGCCAATGCTTTAGCACCATCTAGCACATAATACTCCCCAGTGATGAGGAGTTTGCCATTCGCTTTTTTATGATAAAGAAGCGAGTCTATCATTAAATTGTTTTTGGAGAAACTGAGTCTCTCAATCTTGATAAGTAATTTCTCACCTCACTGACCGAGATGACTTTAT